GGGAGGAGAGACCCTTCCCACACTCCCCCCAAACTGGAGATTCGAACGGGCCACCAGTTAGAACTCTGTCTGCCGAGCGAGGCGGCCCCAGAGGAAGCCGACACCCACCGAGTCCTCGCAGCGGTCACTCCATCACGCTGGCTCGGGCGCAGGACATGATGTCACCTCCCCAAACCAGGCTGTGCCCTTGATACAAGGCTGCCTGGGGTGCGGCGGGGGTGTCCCTGCCTGGGGATCGAAGGAGCGCGGGGCGGGCACCGTCCAGGGAGCTGTGGTCACTTGCCCACCTGCTCCTCAGGGTAAGGTCTGCTCCTGCCGGGCTGGCTCCGGAAAGGCAGCGAGTGAGGCCACAGTCCCCTCCCTCTGGCCCCTGCCCTGCCCGGCCAGCAGCTCAGCGGGAGGCTAGAGATGTGCACGTGCGTCCAGGGCCACAGTCCCAAAGACACAGGCCTCGGAGGAAACAGCGGGGGCACAGCCCCGCAGCCTCCTCTGTGACCATGAGTGCTTCTAGGCTCCCCGACACTTGGTGGCAGCTGCTGGGCCATGCCCACTGGACTGTGAGGCAGCCATTAAAAACCAGGCTCCAGAAGAAAATTCCCGGGTTTGAAGGGAACGCAGGCCGCGTCCCAGCCCCAGGGTAGGGCTCCTCAGGGTGCTGTGCCGGGAGCTCAGAGACCTGAGTGAGCTCAGAGCCTCCTGGAAGGTGCCCAAGGCGGTGGGCAGACCCCATCTCTTCTCTATATTTTCCAAAGCATCTCCTCTGAGGAAGTTTCGCTTCTTGCTTTCATAGTCAGGAAAAAAAGAACTACAAGCAAGATGACACACAGAGAGCTGGCGGGAGGTCCCAGGGGGTGGCAGGGGATCTGAACACACTTTGAAGGTCCACACATCCTGTTCCCGCCTGGTGCACACAGGCTTGCTTCCCCTCCTTCCGCCTCCCAGCCCCGGCTCCGTGAGGACACAGGCCTGGACATGCACCCCAGCCTCCCCAAGCCGGGCACCTACACGGGGATAGGAAGGCAGCAGGACCAGTCAGCTCCAGGCCAAGCACTGGGGACGCCCAGAGAGGGCAACAGAGGCCTGCTGCTCCCGCTCCAGGAGACGCGCAGCGCCAGCCCAAGGGACCCCACCGTCTCCGCTCCCTCTGTGCGTCGGGTCCAATGTTATGACCTCGTTCACCCCGCAGCATCCAGACCCTCTGGCTGACCCTCCTCGGGCTGGACCCTCTGTCTGGAAATCTTGCTGTGTGAGCTTGCAGGAGTCTCTGAGCGTCATGGGGCCGCATCACACCTCAGCACAGGGCTGGCCCAGGCCTCGGTGGGACAGGGCACAGTGAAAGAAAGACTCTCCTCAGCCCAATGGCCCCGCATCTGAGGGGGGCGGGCCGTGGAGTGGGGCAGCTCAAACTGGCCTCCCACCCCCACCCCCAGAGCCCATGGGCTGTCCGACCCCTGCCGGAGAGCTCCGGCTGCTGCAGACGGCCCATCCCCGGGGATGCGGGCCCAGGTGCCCAACATCTGCGGCAGGTCCTCCGGAGTTCTCCCACTGTAAGCCCCTCTGTGCCCTTGGGGGAGAAAGGAGGCCATGATCTGGACCCCCCAAGAGAAAGGACGGCACGGCAGCCCCTCCCCACCTGCTGTAGGAGACGCAGACTGGGGAGCAGCCAGGTGGCTCCCAAGACAGCAGGGTCCCCAGGGTGGCCCTCCCCTGCCAGCTCTGTTACAGAAGCCCTTTGAGGGTCCCCTTCATACGCACGCCAGCGGGGGCCGGAGTGAACCTGGTGCTCCCTCCCAGAGGACAGACCCCAGCCCCCAAAGCCCTGGAGGGAGTGCTGGTCTGTGACCAGGTGGCCAGAGGACAGCCACTCCCGCTCCCCTGCTGAGGCCCTGTCCCACCCCCTGGGTGGCAGCACACCCGGTCCGGCAGGGCGTGGCCTCTGTGTCTGTCCTGCCGAGTCCCACAGGCCTGGCTCTCACCTGGCCAGCCCAGCATCAGGACCCCAGGGCACCATTTGCTGACCGGCCACCTGCAGAGCCCGGTGTGTTGTCTGTCGGGGCCAGGGAGTTGCCCAGACTGCGAGCTCAGGTCTCTACCGCCCCCGGAAAGGACCCCGTGCAGCCCGCCCCTCAGAGCCTGTGCCCGGCACCCCCGGCCCTCATCACACTTGTCTTGAGGTTGTCGGAGAGCAGCTCCAGTGGTCTCCCCGACCCTCACCCACGGAGCAGCCCCCAGTCGCTCGAACTGAAACCTGTGACCGCGGATACGCAAGGACAAGGGTGAGCAACCTGCCGTGGAGACGGCCACCTTCCGGGCACTGTCCCACGGTCCCAGCCCTGGTCCTGGGCCGCTGGGGTCCACGAACTCAGCTCTGGCAGGAAGTGACCTTTCTCCCCACCACAAGGGGGCCGCGGGGCTGAGGCCACACTCACTTCCCCACCGGGAACTTGGCGCCTGCAGCCCATCACAGACACGTGGCTGGGAGTCCCAGGACGGGTGGCACAGAGCAGCAGGCACCGGGTGACGGCTCTGCCCCCACACAAGCCACCGACCCAGGTCCTCGAGACCAAGAGGCCAGAACAGACCCCAACCACACACACCCCTGGGTACGCCCTGAGCCTCACCCCCCACACACACACACCGTCTCCCCCTCTGGGACTGAGCTGGCATCAGCCAGGACGGCACTGTGGCTCACGGCAACTGGACAGATGTCAGTCCAGACCCGGAGGAAGCCCCTGGCCACCAGGGAAACAGAACTATAGCCACTGACTGTCCCCAAGCAGCCGCCAGGACATGCGGGCTGCTCCATGGCCTCGCTGACTGTTTCCAGGGCCCAGGGCCTCTCCTGCCCTGCCTTTGCTCCGTGGTGCTGCCCCAGGGAGCCTTCTGGAAGGACCTGCCGCAGCCCTCAGCCCAGAACCAAGCCCAGGGCCTGTCTCATCTGCATCTGCACCCATGAGCCAGGCATGGAGGGGAGGCAGAGCACAGGGGGCACCGGTGGGGGACAGAAAGCAGGAGGTAGGACAGGCAGGGGGCAGAGCCACGGGGAGGGGACAGCAGTCCGAGGGTGAAGCCCGTTCCTCCCCCATGGCCCCTGGCTCCTACAGCCTCCCCCCAGGGCCCTGCCTGGGTTTCCCGTTCTCTGTTCCAGCACCCCTTTCTCTGGGTGTCCATCCCAGACTGAGCCGAGCAGCAGCCCCAGAGCCTGGGCAGGGGGCTGTGGGCCTCTGAGCAGACGTGTCCCCTCGGCAGAGGAGACCTGCTGGGACATGCCTGGGGAATGTGGGAGAACAAGCCGGGTCCGGCCCCTTGGGGCACAGGGGCGCACAGAGCACACACACAACCCACTCCACACACACACACGTGCACAGAACCTCACAGGGTGCGCGCCAATTCCTGCCACATACACTTGCCCACGCGCACTTCCACCGCCGCTACCCTGAGGGGCCTCCCCCCGAACAGGCAGCAGAGAGCCTGGGGACGAGTGGGTCCTCCTGGGCAAATCAACCCACCGGGACGCACGCACATGGGCCACCACCCCGAAACGTGGGCCTGCTGGCCGGGCCTCACCCCAATGGCCCTCCCTCTTGGCTCTCCTCCCCCACCTCCCGAGAGAGCTGAGTCCGGGTCTACCCGCTGCCCATCCATCCAGGAGGAGCCAGGAGGAGTCAGGGCCCCTGCACCAGCCGGCGAGGCCGACCGGCTGCTGCTCAGAGACGAGAGCGGGAGAGCCAGCGGACTTGGGAACTCTCCGCTCCAGGTGGGCACCAGCAGGCCCCCCAGCTCCAAGCCCAAACTCCCGAGTCAGGGGCTGGCAGGACCCCAGCCCAGAGGTAGCAGCTCCGCCCCAGCCCGAGGGGCCTAGGCCGTGGTACCGGGCACAGATGAGCCCCAGTGGCCTCCGCTGCACCCAGGGTGCGGGAGACTCAGGACACGGCAACCAGCTGTCCTGGGGCAGAAAAGGATAAGCCCCCTGCCTCTCGGAGAGCCTTGCCCGGCCTGCAGGCTCCCACCGAGCAGTATGCGAGTCTTCCACATGGACAGACCGTCTCTGACTCGAGCAAATTATACGGCAGGAGAGCCGCTGCGGCCCGTGTCTGCCGGCTCCCACCCTGCCCTCGGGGAGGGGCTCTCCCACCTAGCCAGGCTCGCCTGCACCCCTGTACTCCTGTGTGCTTCCAGGCGTTGGAAGCCGAGATGCCACAAACAAGCGTAAGGCGGTGGTTCCGTGGCACATTCACGTCGCAGGACCTTCTCTAGCCATGTCCCTGAGATGTGAGCGCTCCCATGGGCACGCGACACCCCAGCTCTCCGGAAGTTGGAGAGGAGACCGCATGCTCCAAACCAGTGCTACCCTATTCCGGAGACCACAGATGCCACTGCCTACAGGCCACAGGGAGGCACAGACCAGACAGGCCCAGGGACAATGAGAGCCTCCCCGGGATGCACAGCCCAGCTGTGCTGAGGACCCCCGAGCTGAGCCAGGATCCCAGGGGTCCCACTGACACAGACAGAGCTGGCAGGCAAGCCGGCAGCCCCGAAGCCATCTTCCTAACAGGAAAGTCTGTTCCCTCTGCCAGCCTTGCCCTGGCCCTTGAGCAGAGGGCACACCCGGGCTGCAGGCAGTGGGGGCTTGACCTTGCTTGGCTCCCCTCTCCCACTCTTAGCCCCAGCCCTGCAGGAAGCCTGCATCGCCTTTGCCTGAAGCCGCGGGGAGCCCCCCTTGGACACACTTGTTCCTGGACCACAATTCCTGCTCAACTAGAGGAAAGCTAGGGTCCTTGGGTGAGGCCACCTCAGCCCCCCATCTCGGAAAAAGACCAGCAAAGACATGTCACCCTTGTGCACTGGGGACGGGGCACACCAGCCACTGTTGGCATCGTGTGCTGGGCCCCCCGCCCACGGCAGGCCCCCTGTTCTGGGGGCACAGGCAGAACTCTTTCTCCCGGGAGGGAGGACTGGACTCCGAACCACGTCCGTGTCTGACCAGAGGCCTCACTCACCCACAGGCAGAATATTGATGTTCAGGAAAGACTGTCCAGTCCTCAGATTGGGCCCTGGGTCCCCTGGTGGGGGAGCCATCATGGAGGGTGGAGGCCTCTAGTCGGCCGGGGGCAGCAGGCAAGAGATGGGGCTGGCCTGGGTCACCAGCTGGGGCCACCTGTGCGTGGGAGGCCAGAAGAAGCCGCTCTGAGGTCCCTCTGTCCCCGGGGCCCCCGGCGTCCCCCTCTGGAGTAGAGGCTGGACCTGCGTGTCATCACACACCTGGAGAGAGAGCAGGGCGGCAGCGTGAGGCCTGGCCGGCCATCCAGGCCAATGGCAGGGTGGGATTGGGGCCCTTGTTGTAGGACAGCCCAGCTCACCGCCCTCCGGAGTGGAACAGCCCACCCAGGTGAGGGCCGGTCACCGCAGCGTCACCAAAGTGTGACCGTTGCCCGGTGCTGGGACCTTCCCACAGCTCCATGAAGTTCAGAGACAGAACAGGCATCATTTCACAGAAATCAGCCCGTGCCTTCGGCTGTGAAGGAGGAGCCGGCGTGCTGCGGGCCGTGGTGGGGCGGGCCCCGGGGCCCAGAAACGGCCGAGGAGACTGCCGTCTCACCCTTCCCACAGCCCTTGGCACCGTCCCCCCCGGCCCTGGGGCTCAGGCCCTTTCAGCCACCTGACGGTCTGTGCAGGAGATGGAGCGCCTTTGTTCTCCAAACCCCTGGTGGGACCCCAGGTTCTGCCTGCCTCCTTGTGCCCCCCAAGTCTCAGCCCCACTGGCCTCTGCTCAGGCTCCTTTCCAGCTTGGAAACCCCACTCCAGCCAACCAGCTCTCCTCACTCCCCCGGCTGCCTCCTTCCAGGGACTTCCTCCTCCCTGGGGGCCAGAGAGGGGCTGCAGAGGCCAGGTGGGAGGCCACTGGGCCCAGGACAGAGTTTCCCGGCCTAGCCTTGGGGTAGACCTCGGGACACCTGGGCCCTCCAGACACCCAGAGCCGTGCTCTACCCAAGGAGGAAGCATGACCAAAGGTGGGCAGGCCCAGGCTCCCCACGGCACCCCCTCTCCCCAGGTCCCCTCAGATCAATCTTAGCACATGACACTTGAAACCCAGGCCTCTGATGCCCCCTCCAACCCCCAGAAGTCTGTCCCTCCTTCATCCTGGCCCGCTCCGGCCCCCCGACCTCCATCTGGCCTACCCCCTCCAGTAGACCTAGAATTTGCCCGCCATGGGCTCTCCAGGGTCCCGTGCCTCAGAAGAGCATGGGGAGAGACCAGGTGGCCCAAAGGCCAGGGCACCCAGGGCTCATGGGTCCCTCCAGCACCAGCCCGGCTCTGCCCACTACAGACCTTCACGGGCGCACCCTCTGCTCCCGGTTACCCCTCTGCATGCCCCAGCCCCAGGCTCACCAGCAGGTGTGGGGTCTCCTGGCCCAGGTTCACCCGAGGCAGCCAGATCGCTGCAGCCCACCAGGCCGGAGCAAGCTCCTGCCGCCGTCCCAGCCGGCTACTGCCGGGTCCCCGAGCAGGCACCGCGGCTTCCTGCCGCCCCGGGAGCCCAGGATCCGTGCCCGGACACGTCTGTAAGCGCGGGCCGGGTGTGGGGCTCAGCAGGGCTGGCACAGTAGAACCTAATTAGGCAACAGCACCCCACCACAAGCCGGGGCGCGGCCGTTACGGACCGTGAGGTCAGCCCTTGGCATAAGCCCGGCCGCACCTGGCCGTGTGAGCGGAGCCCCACCCCGCCGACCCCTGCTCCTCAAGCCATGCCAGGCTCCCCCATGCTGCCCCCCCTTACAGCCACACGGGCACACTGGGCCCCCTGACAGTCTGGGGGCCCACGGCTGGGTCAGCAGCCTCGGGAGTGGGTGCTGCGGAGGGGAGGCACGGCCCTCAGCGGAGCCTCTTCCTCCTTGCAGGGCCCCAGGGGAGGAGGGGGCCTCCTCCAGAGCACTCGGCCTCTGCCCAGACTCCCACCCAGATGCCAACGTCAAGTCCTGGAAACTGGCCACTGCCCACAGGTGACCACTCACGGATGACATTGTTCAGAGCCAGGCTGGGCCAGGCTGTGGGACAGGGCGGAGAGGCCCACCTGACCCCTGCCCCCCCAGCACCAGCCTAGTTAATCAGGACATACAGCCCAGGCCCAGACAGGTGGGAGGGCGGCCCAGCCCAAGTCCGTTTGCCAGGGGTGTGATGCTCACACCCAGGTGGGCACGCCCACCCCCATAGAATGGCCACCTGCCCCCACCAAGCCCCCAGGGGACAAAGGGGTCCGTCGCCTGCCCTTGCCAGTCCGTGGTGCCCCACCCATCCTTGCTGTCCTTGCGCACAAGGAGAGCCAGTGTGTGTCCCCCCACGCCCCAGGGGCTTCCTCCCCCCGTGACTCTGATGCCCGCCGCACCCCCTCGCTGTGTCCTGCAGACTCCTCGCGGGAGTGCCGAGGGGCCCACCGCAAGCCCCAGCCTGTCCCCAGACACCTCTTCCTCCTGCCTCACCGCCCCCAACCCCATGGGACGTCACCAGGTCTGCCTCTCCCTTCATTGGCGTCCACTGGCCGGGAGCGACCCCCAGGGTGGGGAGGGGGAAACAGGCCAGACACAGGTACCAGCTTGGGACCCTGCTGCTCTGCCCGGAGAGAGCACCACGCAGGCCCCCAGGGTGCGGGGAAGACACCGGCAGCGGCGTTATCCAGGGGGACGCACAAGAGGAATGACAGGCTGCGCAGCAGCAGCGGGAACTAGAAGCACCCTGAGAGCACAGAACGGAGCCAAGGAAGCAGAGGCCGGAGGGGGCACGCCGGAGGGGGCACGCTTCCCAAAGCGCGGCCACGGGGAGCCCCGGGGGCCCCCAGAACCCCCAACACAGGGCACGCGGTCTGCTCTGTCCGCACAGCCTCCTCTTCTCCCCTGCGCCGACTTCAGCGCGGCGGGTGAGGCTCTGCACGGACCAGGCCGCAGCTCCAGGCAGCACCGGGTCAGCCCTCCCCCCACCCCCCGCCTCCGTCACCAGGCGCCCAGAGTCACAGAGAGAAAGCCACTGCCCTGGGGACTTCTGGAAGGCGAGCTGAGGTTCCCAGCACCCTGTGTGAGCCGCAGGGCGCGGACGACGTTGGTGGGAAAGAGCGGCTGCAGCCCGTGCACCAGGCGGCCTGCGTGCGCCTCAGTGGGCACCGCGCTCCCGAAGCCCGCACGGCAAGCCCCGCCACCTGCGGGCAAAGCGACAGGATCTGTTGCCGATGACGTTCGAGCTGAAGTCGAAGTGAGCATTTTGGGGCGCACGTACCCGGCACGGCGAGTCTGATGGCTTCCAAGTGTCTGAAGGCATCTCCTCACGGCGGCGTGGCAGCGCTAGGGACAGACGGGCGTGTCAACGTCCAGGAAGTCTGCCCCCGCCCGCCCCGGCCCCCCGGCCTGCCGGCCAGTGCTCAGGTAGAGGGAGATCCACTCATGGGGAAACACGGACCACTGGGACCGAGGAGGCAGAGCCCCACACTCACCTGCGACCCCCTCTGTCCTTGGCTGTGGCAGGGGCCAGGACCACGTGCTGTTCTCAGGGGGCTCCTGCGTGTGCGCCCCACCCACCGCCCCCCCCAACAGCAGGTGCGGTGGCCGCAGGGCAGCCACAGATCCAGAGCCCAGCCCCTTCCTCCTGCCCGGCATGGCAGAGACCTGCAACCCCAAACACCCCCTTCTCACTGGATTTGGTTTTGGGGGGAAAAAGCTACTCATTATAAAATATTATTTATATTAACGTAAACAGGCACAGCCACTCTGGAAAACAGTATGGAAGTTCCCCAAAAACTATAAATAGAAAGACCGTAGGACCCAGCGACCCGTTGCCGCGCTGCCTGCAGACACACAACACGGATCCGGGAAGATGTGACGCCCCCGTGTGTCCCACAGCCGAGACACGGAAGCACGCGCGTGTCCACCGCCAAGGCGAGACGTGCCACACACACGACGGAGGGGACTCGGCCGTCAGGAGGGGGAGCGCTTGCCACCTGCCGCTGCGTGCGCGTGGCTGTGCGTGACCGAGAGGCGTCACGCTAAGCGAAGCCAGTCCGTCCCGGAAAGACAAACACGCGATTCCACACGCACGTGGAACCTCCACACCACAGCCAACGAACAAAGACGCAAACGGACTCTTAAGTACAGAGAACACATGGGTGGTTTTCTGAGGGGAGGCAGGTGGGGGGCGGAGGGCTGCGGACTTCAGTCACAGGATAAGATGTCCCGGGGATGGAAAGGACAACATGGGGACCGCAGTCAGCAGGACGCAGCACCGTCTGCACGCTGAGCCATGCACACGCCCGGTTCTCCTGGGCCACCGCCTGGGCCCCGGAAGCCGCCGCGCACGGCTCTCAAGTCTGCCTCGACAGCAGACGAGAAACGTTCTCTGCAGTGACGCGTGATGAGTCGACGGTTAACCAGGAGGACTGTGTCGAGAGAATTCTTTTAGATGACGAGTTTTCATACTTGGCGAAGTAACTACCAGATAATAATCATAACCAGGAGGCACTGGTACGATTCACCAGCAGCTCCCGGGGGCAAAACCCTCGATGGGCGGTTGGGCGCTGTTTGCCAATTTCCACGTAAATGCGCCCACGGCAGCCCGTTTCCCGCCCGGAGGAAACGCAGCCGCCGAAGTCCCCGGGGACGGCCGCCAGGCAGACGCTGGGACCCCGCGGCTTCGAGATGAGGGCGCCGACGGCAGCGGGACGCGGCCTCTGAGGACACCAGAAGTGTGACCGTTCGTTACCTCACGTTTCTGACACAACTCATATGTTTTTCGTAATTTAATTAGTTTAATTTGATTTTAACAGCGGCCGTGTGTCACAGCCAGCTCGCGAGCCCGTGCGCACGACCCAGTCCCCACAGCACCAAACACCCCGGGGACCCCAGAAACGGCTCGGCCTGGAAACGGGCCCGGAGACCACCTTGTGCTCTGCTAAGACTGATTTTTTAAAATTCCGGCAAAACCACCCCATCCGTGCTGAGAAGACAGACCTGAAACCCACCAGGGCACATCCGGCGGGGCCAGACAGGCAAGTGGCGATCCGTCGTGAGGACTGGCCCCTGCGGCCCTCTGTGCTTGAGGACTCCTGGGGTCAGAACGCGCTGGAAAGCACGGCCTGGGAGCTTCTCTGAGTCTTGGTTTCCTCACCGGTCGAGCAGGGTGCTGAGCGCCCCTTCCCCCGCAGGAGACAGCAGGCGCGGGGTTCACCTGCGGAGGGGCCTGGAGAAGCCCAGCCTGGCGGGCAGGCACAGGTCCCTCCCGGTCATCATGCCCTGGGACCCCTGTGCCTGGGGACACTTTCCCGTGCTCACACCAGGAACACATCCTTGGGGGCAGGGCACACCTCACGACTGGAGACAGGCCTGGGAAGCTCCCACACCCTGCCCGGGGGCCGGAGCCCCTGCCTGCACTGCATCTTGTCCCCTCGAGGGCCACTCGGGCCTGACAAGCAGCTGCAGGCAGAGACGTAAGGGAGCAGTTCTGTCTCCACGCCACAGCCCAGGGCCCGTGAGGGACAGCAGAGACCCCGCCTTGAATGCCTCCATCCAACAGCTCCCCTCAGCCCAGATGAGATGCTGAGTCTCTGGGGTGGGGGCCAGAGTCTGCTGACATCAAGAGGCAAGTTGAGGTTTGGGACAGGAGGAGGGCAGAGGCGCAGGGCCAGTCCCCACATCCCTCTGTCCTTAACCCAGAGCTCACTGAGTTCCTGATCAATGACACACCCTGAGGCAACCCCGTACCCACCAGCCAAGCTGCCAAAAAGCTCCAGAGCAGAGGAGGGAAGAAGGGGCTCAGAGGGGCCCAAGGGTTGGCCACGCCCCCAGGACCCTCTGCAGAAGGGGACCCTTCAGGCAGAAGGGACAGCGTGTGCAAAGGCTCTGCGGCAGGAAGGGCCCTGTGATCTGCGGGCCCAGGGCTGGCACGGAGCCCCGGTCCCAGTGTGGACGGAACTACGATGGGGCTCCCGGCGTCCTCCAAGGATTAGCCCGGAGGAGCTCGCATCTCAGTTGGGGGGCACCTCCCAAAGTCCTGCCTGCCAGGCCCAGTGCCTGCCGTCACCTGATGGTGCCCCAGGCCACCTGCTGGGCCACAGAGCAAGGGGAAGGAGGGGCTGGGGAAGGCTGCAAGGACCCTGCCGGCCTCCAGCCCAGGAGCCACTGTTTGGGGGCGCCCTTTCCTGCCCTCGGCACCAAAACAAGAGGTCCTTTGTTCCTTTCTTGTTTGTTCAGGAACACTTCTGAAGCCCCTCGTGGAACCAGGACCCCGCAGTGACCCGTCAGAAGTGCCACACTCGTGTGGCTCACATCACAAGGAGGCAGGCAGCAGACCCCATCCCCGATTATAAAGGACCATGCAGGGGACCACGCCCGCGAAGGTGAGTGCAGCGGGGCGGGAAACTGCAGGGACCTGAAGGTGTCCTCCTGGGCGGGAGCAGCCTTCGCCTATCAGGGCACCCATATTCCTGCGCCCCTCTTTTCAAGGTGTCCATAATATCCACGGGGCCTCCAGTGCCAAGGTCAGACCCAGAACTCTGTCTTCAGGCACTGGGGAGCCTCTGAAGGTTCCGGAGCAGGGACAGGACGGTTTGGTGCCGCAGGGGCAGTGAGGCAGGGGCCAGGTGCTGGCCAGGCGCTCAGCCCCACCACGTGCCCAGAGCCACCAGATCCAGCGGGCCCTACTAGGCCCCGGCCTTTGGAGACACAGAAGGTAGGTCACGCCTGTTTGTCAGTTTATAGCCAATAAAGGGGCCAGAGCAATGAGCGTGCGCACCAGCCAGAACACCCAGAACCTTTTGCTCAGCCCCGCCCACCGGCCTCTCTGCTCACAGGAGAACCCCAGGGCACACTCAGGGCACCCCTGGGCCACACGTGGGCCTCTCAGCCAGGCAGGGGCGTCCGTCCCATATGCGCACGAGGCCCCACAGGTCTTGTCGCTTCAGACCAGGAAGGTCATGGGCCTTCAACAGCCTCAGTTCTCCAACTCTGCAGCAGAAATCTGCCATCTGCCTCTTTTTGGCTCACGGGGGTGCGCCCCGAGTGGGGCCCGAGGAACCAGGAGGAGCTGCTTCCCTTGGACGCTGCTGATGTCGTGCAAACCCACGTTCAGGAACCAAGTGGCTGCACCACGGAAGCTGAGCACATGCTCCCGGAGCCCTGACCCGGAGGAAACACGGGCGGGACAGGCCGTGGCCTGGGTCCCCAGGAGCGCCTGCCCTGCCCTGGGTCACCTGTCCACGCAGTCCCTCTGCCTTCCACAGGGGGGAGCCCCTGCTGCTGGTCAGTGCCTGCTCGGGGAACAGAGCAGGGAGCGGGTCAGGAGGTTCCCCCAGACTGACCCCCCCGCCTGCTGGCAGAGGCTTTCACCACCTGCTGCCCCCTCTTCCCAGGACCCCGAGCCACTCAGGCCCCCAGGGCCATGCCCCCCCCAGCACCGCAGCCAGGGCCTGTGGCTCCCGGAGCCTGGGGAGCTGAGTGCCTCTACGGCCTTCTTTGGCAGAAGAGGAAACCGAGACCCAGGAAAGGTGGGGACCTGCCCAGACGCGGCAGCCACAACGAAGAGGCTGCCCGAGGACAGCGGCGCCCCAGGAGAGAGGAGGAGCCTCCAGCACCCAGTCCCTCAGAAGTGGCCGCCTGCCCACAGCCCCACCCAGGACATGGCCCCAGGACAGGCCTGACCTGCCAGCTCCCCGGGATGGAGGCCACACCCCTGGCTGGAGTGAGGGGAGCGCACGGGTGACCAGTGCCACTCCCGACACCCTGCCCAGCCTGCGGCCCCGCTGAGGCTTCCCCATCGGGCTCTCCCCGGTCCATGGGTCCTCACTCTTGGGAACCCCACTCTGCAGGGGCCTGGCCTCCCCCCCACTTTCTTTCTCCCTGCAGCCCCACAAGACCCCTCTCTCTTGTATGGATGGAGCCCTCCCTCCCCTTCTGCCAGAGCAAAGCCTCCTCGTCCAGGAAACCCTCCTGAACAGTCTCTTCCTTGGGCCCTTAGCGTCTTACACCAACCAGCTCAGCCCGGGGTGATGGCCGCACCCGCCTGAAGACCCCGTGCCTGTCCAGCAACAGGCAAGGCCATTAGGGAACAGCTGTGGGACCGGACAGAACTGGGACCTGCCTGGTGCCTGCTTTTACCAGAGAAGAGCCTCTCTGACCTTTGGTCGCTTAGCTCTGCCACGTGACGGTAACCCCTTCCTGCCCCAGCCCCTGAGTTCGGCTTCCTGTCCTGGCTCCGGTGGAACCCCGAGCATGGCCCCGAGCCCCACAGCGCCAGGCTGGCTCTGTTCCTGCCAGCCGTGCTGCTCCGCCAGGAAAATGACATCCCTGACCAGCACAAGAACACACTGGTCCCCAGCCACCCTCTGGCGTCCTGAGTCACTGACATCACCCCCCAGACAAGGCCGAGCCCCAGGCCCAGGCTCGGTTCTCTGGCCCCTCATCCTGACCCCACCTGACAAGCCCCCCAACTGGGCAGTGCTATGGGACCACCCCTCAGCTGAGGCCTCTGCTCAGGGGGCTGGCAGGAGTCCCAGGGTTGTGTAGCCCTGGCTCTGTTCTGGGGTGCTGCCTCCCCGCACCCAGGGCTGCCCTCCCCTCCACAGGTTGCCCCCACCCCTTGCCCACTCATGGCCACTGGATGTTCTTGCCAGGCGGTGGAGTGAGGTGCATTCCTGGGCCGCCAAGCCCTCCAGAAAGTCACGGGGCGGAGGAGCCTGTCCTCTGTGTTCGTCCAGAAGCTGCTCCCCACAAGGCAGCAGTGCCCTCCTCTGCTCAGCACCCGCAGGGCTCCTGCCCCATAAGGGACACACACACAGCCTTCTCCATCATCCTGTGTCCCCCTGGATTGACATCTCTGCCTGGGAACCCCCACTCCCAGTCCCAGGACAGGGACGCACCCCACCTGGCATTTGACCCGAGGATCCTGAACCTTGGCGACAGCGGAGGGAGTCACATGCTGAGCCCACCTTAGTGAGAATGGGGCCAATGAGCTGACCCACAGGGTTTTTCCTTCTCTCCTGCTGGCACTGTCTTCCTCAGCACGTGTGTGTGCCAGGCTTGGCGATACGACGGCCACCCAAGCAGGAAGGCTATACCAGGTGGAGCCGGCCTCCCTGGAGAAGCAGAGGAACACTGGCAAGCTGCCCAGTGGACCACTGGGTGGCCCCCTAGGCTGCTGGGTGGCACTGGGTGGAGGTGGGAGATGAGGTGGGGACCGAGGTTGAGGTATGCAGCGGGGCTCCCGTGAGGGGCCGGAGCAGACATCCGGGAGGAGGGACAGGGGACACTACATGCTGGGAGTTAGACTACTGCTCCACGGGTGGCCTGGGACCCAGGTGACTCGAGCGCTGCCACACCAGCGAATTCTATCAGTGTTCCCATTTCACAGTGCAGAAAACAGAGGTCTGGGGCTTAAGGCAGCTTGTGTGTATGTGAGAGCTCCCTGTAAGTGACCGAGGGCCTGCGGAGGTCACAGGTGGTAGGGTCAGAGACTGGCTGGCACTGAGTCAGAGATCAGCACAGCCAATGGCTCGGCGTCCACGGGACACTCTGTTTAAAAACAGAGCAACCCCTTACTGCACGCCCAGCCCACAGAGAGCGGCCCCACACCAGGGCCGGACTCCAGCCGGCCACCTCGGCCCCACACGGGTCCACACAGCTCTCTGCCTTCCTGACAGAGGAGGTCAGAGTCACTCTGCCACCACTTTGAATTCTGATCCAGGTTCATTCTAGGGTGAAACTCACTCCCTGATCCCCAGAAAATCTGCCCACTGACCTGGCGGAGCAGATGGGCTGACGGCACCACCTGCCGGCCGCTCTGCCTTCGGACTCCAACCCAAAGACCTCTTAGGGCCCACGGGGCAGCCCCGGGGGTTGGGAACTTGAGTCTGAACCCAGGAGGGACCCAGGTCCCAGAACAACACACACTTGGTCGCATGGTTCCTGGCGCTGCCCTGCCCAGGCGGGAGGCCTGAGCGGGGGAGCTGCTGCAAGGTACCGTCCTGAGCAGCGCCCACGGGCGGGTGGGACAGGCCAGTGAGGGCAGGAAAAGCCCCACCGCAGCCGGGTGCCAGTGGGCGGGGCTGTCTGTGCGAACCCTCCGGCCAGGGCGTCTTTGGGACGCGGAGAGTTTCAGGCTGGCGAACGCAGCTGGGCAGAGACTTGTGAAGGACTCGGGGTCTTCCACCGGCCACCCCCAGACGAGGGGTCTACCCTGCACTGCCCACTAAAGCCTCAGGCAGCCTCGGTCTGCAGGAAACAGGGCCAGGGGCAGGGGCTCGGCTCCAGAAGGGCACGAAGGCTCCAGCGGCAGGCGGGACTGTGGGAACCGCCCAGGCCGCGCCTTCCCTCTCGGAGGAGCCCACAGCCCGGGGGCCGCCCGTGAGCTCCGGGCCGGTGTCCCCAGCCCGGCCGCAGCCTGGCGGCTTCTCCGCGCTCCGCGCGCCCGCAGAGGAGGGCAGCAGTGGGGCCCAGCCTGCGGCCTGGCCCGCCCTCCGTGACCCCCCCACCCCCCGCGCCTCGGGCAAGGTCGGTGCGGCCTCGGCGGCTCCCCAGCCCTGCGGGGCCGAAAGCGCGCGGGGCTTCCCCTCCGCGGCCGGGCCTGGCGCCACGCAGGTGGGCCTGGGGCGCGCCCTGCCCTCCCTCGGCCGCGCCACAGGTGCGGCCCCGCCCTTCCGCCCGCCTCCCTCCCACCCGGCTCCTCCCCACCCGGCTCCAGTGCCGCGGTGGCCTGCGGCTGGCCCTCGGGCCGGCCCTGCGCTCGCCCTCCGCGTGCGGCCTCCCCCGGCGGCTCCTCCAAGAGCCGGGCGGCGGGACCCTCGCGGAGCCCAGCGCCCGGCGGCCCGCTGGAGGAGGGGCGGCGCCCGGCCAGTCATCGTCACCGTGGACCCCCGAGTCCTGCTCGCTCCCCACACAGCGACCCTCGGAGCCGGGACCCCGCCAGGCGCCCCCGCGCCAGAACCAGGCCCCTACCGCACCACACCCCCGATTCCGGCCCCGCCCCCGCCCCGAGGCCCCGCCCCGTCCACGCCCCCAGCCCTCATTGGTTCTCCCCCCGGGACTCCGCCCCCGGCCTGGGGCCCTGCCCTCGTTCCCGTCGCCCCCAGCGCCGCACGGCTCCGCCCCCCGCCCCTGCGTGAGTTCGGACCGCCTCTCCACCCCTCGCGCTCCCGCCCCCCGCCCCTGCCGGCTCCCACGTCGCCTCCAACCCTCACGGCTCCGCCCTCAGCCGGATTCCCGCCCGTGTTTACGTCGCCCCGCCCCCTCGCGGCCGCGCCCCCGGTCCCTGCCCGCGTTCACGTCGCCCCCAGCGCCGCACGGCTCCTCCCCGCACGCTGCCCGTCGGTTCTGCCCCTGAGCTAGGACGCGCAAGGCCGGCGCCGCACTCTGGCGTCATCAGGCAGCGCTCGCGTGGGCGTGGCCAGGCGGCTCCCAGGCCCCGGCGCGTCGCGGACATGGTCCCCGCCGCCGCCGGCCCCGCGCAGGTCGTTCGCGCGGCGCAGAAAGACGACTACTACCGCGGTGGGCTGCGGGGCGCGGCGGGCGGCGCCCTGCACAGCTTGGCGGGTGAGCCCGGGCCTGCGGCGGGAGGGAGGGGACCCCAGCGCGCGTCCGGCGGGCGGGGGCCGCGGGGCTGGGGGCCCCGAGCGGCGGGAGAAGCGGCTTGTGGCTACGCCGCGTCCCGCTCCGGCCTCTCTGTGCCGCTCTCGGCGCTTCGCAGACGCCGCCCGGTCAGTTCCGGACGTTCCCGGGTCGGCTCCGGCGGTGCGCCCCGTGTCGCGGCGGAACATGGGGGTCCGTGGGCGCGTTTAGCTCGTCTGAGGTCGCCCCGGGCCACAGCCGCCTCGCTCGGGCTCCGGGTCGCCGCCTCCCGCCCTGCGCTTGTGGCCCGTCTGGGTCCGGGACGGTGGCCGGGGCGGGCCCTGCAGGGGACACGGCTGCGGGGATGCGGGGAGGCCCTCCGGAGGCCCGGCCCGGCGGGGACGGCGAGCAGCGCGGACGTCCGCGCCGGGGGCAGACTGCGCTGCGGGACGGTCTCAGCCTGTGGAGCGGCGGCTGGACCTTGGCGGCGGGAGGAGCCACGCAGGGATTGGATCCTAACCGCCAGCCCCGCGCCCTCTCTCTCAGGTGCGAAGAGGTGGCTGGAGTGCAGGAGGGAGGTGGAGCTGCTGTCCGACGTCGCCTACTTTGGCCTCACCACGTTTGCAGGTAGCCCCGGTGGGACCCGGAGACCAGGGGCCCGGAGGTGGGGTGCGAGTGCCGCTGGCAGAGTGAGAAGCTCCTGGAGCGGCTTCCCAGTGTCCCTGGAGCTGCCCCAGACGCAGTCTCGGGAAGGAGGGGACCCTGGGGCCCTCCCCTGAAGGAGAGGCCAGGCCGTGAGCCCCAACTGGAGCCTCTGAAACTTCCAGGGTGTCACTTCTGTGCCCTCCTCTGTTCCCTTTTGTGTTCCTGGGGATCTTTGCCCTCGACTTTGCCTGGGGTGCCCGTAGGACAGTTTCTCTGTAGCTGAGTTCTGTGGCTCGTCGGGGTTCCTGGCACTAAGCCCTGTCGCAGGGCAGGGTCAGCAGGGTCCCAGTGGACCGTCGTCCTTCAGAAAATGCAGGGACCTGACAGCAAAATCCAGCACAGGGAGAAGGACAAGGATGGCAGGCCCCTGCCTCAGTTTCTCAGGCGGGTCGCCCCCACACCCTCACCGGCAGGCTACCAGACCCTCGGGGAGGAGTATGTTGGCGTCATCCAGGTGGACCCGTCCCGGAGCAGAGTACCCTCCAGGTTGCGCCGTGGCGTGCTGGTGGCGCTGCACACCATCCTGCCCTACTTGCTGGACAAGGCCCTGCTGCATCTGGAGCTTGAGCTGCAGGCCGAGGCCGACAGCCCCAGGCCCTCGCAGGGCAGCCTGGCTCTGGGCGGGCGTGGCCGGTCGGGAGCCAGGCACTGGGTGCGCCGGCACACGGCCACCCTGGCGGAACCGCAGAAGAGGACGCTCCTGCGCGCGGTGGTGGTGCTCAGGCAGGGCCTTGGCTGCCTCCAGCGGCTCCACATTGCCTGGTTCTACATCCACGGGGCCTTCTACCACCTGGCCAAAAGGCTCACAGGAGTCACTTACGTAAGTCACCGGTGCCGTGGGGACTTGCTCGCCTCTGGCTGCTGTGTGTTCAGCTTCCGGCGGCTGGCACGGTCACAGGGCTGGAGCCGGGACCCTCTCCGGAAAAACACGGTTTTACTGCATCGTGTTTGCTGGCAGACCCTAGAAAGTCAACCCTGAGGGAGAGGCTCGTCTGCCTCCCTGCCGCCAGCACTTGCAAGACTCCAGGCCCCGGGCCCACACCCACTCCTTCACAGCTGCCCTGCCGGAGGGTCAGGTGTCGCAGTGCCTCGTGTCACCGCCAGGACTTTCCCTGGGCTGAGCCTGCCAAGCAGTCCCACCTTTCATCCTGTTTCTGTCCTGGTGCCTTTGCTTCCGCATCCACACGGGAAGCCTCAGCTCAGGACCCTGATCGCGAGGGTCACCCCCTTTCTCGCCTCACTTGACAGCCCTGTCTGGTCAGCCTCGGCCCTCAGCGCGCTCTCCCGAGAGCCGCCGGCTCGCCGCCCCCAGCCTTAGCGAGGGTGTATGCTGCGTGGCTGTAGCAGAGGGGCCAGACACACGGCCTCGACCCAGGCAGAGGGTTTTGCGCTCCTGGGGTCTTCTCTGCGTGGACACATGGGGCCTGCCTGGCTGGGGGGCTCCAGCTAACGGGAGGGAGAGCAGAAGTGGAGGGCAGCTACCTTTCCCTTCGGGGGTGTGGTCTGATGTTGGGCGCGTCACTAGCTGCGGTGTCACACCGGCTGTCTCCTGTCGCCGGGAGAGCCAGGTGTCCTCCAGGAGCTGCTCTGTTCACGGGACAGAGAAGCAGGTTAGCAGCCGTGCCTGCGCGGCTTTTCCTCCTGTTGCCCTAGGCTGCTGTTCTCAAGACTCCTGCTGGCACTTGTCTCTGAGCTGTGAGTCCCCCGATGCACGCCCCTCCCCCCCCATCATCACCTGCAGCCGTAGGGACTGGACTGCAGACTTGGAGCCCGGTGGCTGTCTTCCTCACCGTCTCAGCACTCACTGTCTCCTCCAAAGTGAGGACCTGAGCTGTCCAGCAGCGGCCCCCGCCTGCGCTCAGACCTGGCGAGGTGCTCCTGCCCCCCTCACTCAGCAGAGAGACCCGGTGATCGCTCTCTGTCCCCACCTTGTGCCAGGAGGGCAGGTTTTGACCTCATTCAATGGGGCACTCTACTGCCGGGGGGTTGTGCCAACTGATCATGTGACTGTCCCTTGGGGTCCCTGACAGCTTTGCGTGCACTCTCCAGCTACGGAGGACCTGAGGGCTCGAGACAGCTACAGGCTGCTAGGAGTCCTCTCCCTGCTGCACGTGGCCCTGTCCGTGGGCCTGCAGCTGTACGGCTTCCGGCAGAGGCAGCGCGCCCGGCGGGAGTGGAAGCTGCACCGTGGCCTGACTCTCCGCAGGTGTGGGGGGAGGGGGACCAGGGGGGCTCCCAGCCTGGCTGCTGCAGCCCTGCGGGGGGGGGGGGGGGCAGGGGCGGGGGCTGAGCAGCCTTGTGTGCAGCATTGCTGCTGGGGCTCTGAGCCAGCACTGCAAGGACTCTCGTGGTCAAATCTTGGTGTCTCCCTGCCCTGCCGCCAGGAGCCACGCGGAAGAGAAAGCCGTTTCCAGAAACTCCACGTGTACGCTGTGCCTGGAGGAGCGCAAACACCCCACAGCCACGCCCTGCGGCCACCTCTTCTGCTGGGAGTGCATCACCCAGTGGTGCGACACCAAGGTGGGTGTGCCTGGGGTCAGCAGCGGCAGTCCCAGAGCGCAGGCCTCACGGGCAGGTGCACCGGCCAGCCCAGGCGGCTGTCCGGGAATCAGGAAGCCTGTCCCAGGTTTGTCTTAGGATGAACCGCATACGGGACGTACCTGGAGTCAGGGGGCTCCAGTGGCGCATCCAGAGGCATTGCTGGGAGGTGGGGACAGCAGCCAGGCCATGCGGTTCCATTCCTGGAGTTGCCCCAGTCCCCCAACCCCGCCGCTACTCAGAAGCCCGGCTGGTCTGCACCAGCAGGACCTTCTCTAGCTGGGCAGATGGCGCCGGGACGGCCTACGTGGGTGGGAGCTCCGTTCAGGGTTGTGCCCGTGACCAGAGCAGGGGCCGCCACACCATCTCTTACAGCCGCGCCGATGCCAGTGAGGGGTGGGGTTTCTGGGCCCCCAGCAGCCCTGCCGCCCAGGCCTGGCCCAGATGGAGCTTTCTCGGGGCTGAGGGTCAGGAGGCCGCACAGGTGAGGTGGGTAGACGAGGAACGGGATGTGCACCTCAGTCGCCACCTCCTGTTCTCACCTGAGGACCTTCACCTCCAGCAGTTGGCCAAGAGGCGTTCCTCAGAGCCCGTGTCCGGGGCTCACAGGAGCCACGGCCTCAGCCTGGCCACCGTCACTTAGAAACAGCACCTGTGAATGTCTGCACCACGTGGGTCCCCCTGGAGTGTCACACTCAGCCTCCACTTTGGGGCTCCTGCTCCCCATTTTGAGGGAATCCCCCAAGAACACACGTGCCATCTCCCGTAAGCAGGTGGCCCCAGACAGGAACGCCTAGTGGGAGATGAGTGGACCTCCCTGGGGACAAGAGGAATCCAGCCTGTCCTTAGGAGCGGGGCCCCTGGGACGGAGCCAGACAGGACCCCACACACTCCTCTCCACACGACACTCCATAGCAGCCGGGTGGACAGACGGCTGCCTCCCTGGCTTGGCCTCTGCTCCCAGCTCCACGCCCTACTACCCCCCGGGTCAAGGCCCTCCCTTTGGGTTTGTGACTTCTGAAAAAGATGCTTTTTTGAAATGGTTTTCATTTGAAGTTAAGAGAGACGTGTGCACCTCCCATGGTACTGCAGGTGCCGGTGTGGGAGGGCCCGTGCTGGGGCCTGTGCTGGCCACAGCATCCCTGCCCTCCCTGACCTTCCTCCTCCCCCTGCAGGCGGAGTGCCCCCTCTGCAGGGAGAAATTCCCTCCCCAGAAGCTCGTCTACCTGCGGCACTATCGCTAGCCCACCCGAGGGCAGAGGCACCGGGGACTGTCAGGAGAGAAACCCCGTCTACTCTCAAGGTCGCTTTTACTTGCACAGGAATTGCCTAACTCCGATTTTATTTCACGTCACGTGAGAAACTACACGAGCAGCTTGCGGACGGAAGCTGGACCTGCCTGCACGGTCCAGGTCTGAGGTCTCTGTGCCGAGTGTGGGCTGGCACTTCCCCGCTCAGTCGCCCCGAGCCCACGGTGCCGGTGGCGAGCGGCAGCTGGGGCAGAGCCCGCCAGGGGGTCCGCACCCCTGCCCCCACCCCCACGGTACATCTGGGTCACTTCTTCAGGAGCTGGACTATTGGACAAGGTTGTTTCCATCCCATCCCCAAACCATACAGTGGAAAGTGAGTTCCAGAAGTGGGACCAGCCATTCACGTGATGAGAAAAGGAGTCTGTGTCCGGCGCACAGCGGACGGTTGGGGTTTGGCCCAAGGGGAACGGCAGACAACGGGGCTGACCCACTGGTCGGTCCGCCAGCCCCGCTGACCTGGAAACCTTGCCCTCATCGGCAGAGGCAGGCCGCTTGGTGGCTCGGGCACATCCACTCACAGGAGCGTAAGACCCCAAGGAGTCGGGTCTCCACCTGCAGCGCGTGGCTCGCGCCGTTTCATACACGGTCAGGTCTGTGCTGCTCCAGAGGATGGAGTCCCCGTCTCGGCTGAGGTCTGCCCGCCCCGGGCTCAGGGTGCACAGCCAGCCTGCAAGGGAGGTTCTCCGCCTTCTTCACACCTAGCCCACAGCCGCCTCGGAGCTGAGCTCTCCCTGAGGCCTGGGCAGGCTGGCTGTTTGTGCCAGGTCACTGCCGTGTCCAGCCTACTTCCCGCCACCGTTTTGTTATTTTCAGGTCTTTTAAACAAAGTATTTAACTTGTGCCAGAGACTACTTTGCCATGAGCTTCCGTAAGAAACAAGTTCCACAGAAGCGTGGTACATTGAGAACGTCGTCAGGGTGAACAGAAGGTCCCATTTCCTAAAGGACGAGAACCTGCGGTCAGGAAGTCCCATCCCCTGTGTGAGGCTGCGGCCCAGGCTTCTGGCAGAGGCCTGTGCAGACCACTCCGGGATCTGAGTGGACACGGTCATCCAGGGACGCGTCGCTCCACACTCCTCGGCTGCTACGGGCTGGCCACCTGAGACAGGCCCGTGACCACAGGCCACACTGAGTAGGGGCCCCAGGAGAGAGGCTCCACACTTCCTGAGGGCCTTTATGGACGCCCTGACCAAGCGCAGACAATTTCCCATCACTTAGGCCTGAGCATGTAGCAGGAAAACGGTATGAAAAACAAGTGTCCAGAGTTTCAACATTGCAGGTGCCACAGTGTTGTATCAAAGGTACTGATTCAGGACCTCACTGAAATGCCAAGATTTCAATCTGGGTGGCTCAGTGGGTTAAGCCTCTGCCTTCGGCTCAGGTCACGATCCCAGGGTCCTGGGATCAGGCTCTCTGCTCAGCGGGGAACCTGCTTCCCTTCCTGCCTCTCTGCCGGCTGTGATCTCGGTCTTCAAATAAATAAATGAAATCTTTAAAAATAAATAAATGCCAAGATGAAAACATGCAATCAGGTACGTAGGTTTCATACGGCCTCCTAGAATTGAGAGGAGCTCGATCTCAGATAAGCAAAAATCGGCCCCAAAAAGCCAGACAGTAAACGCATTCAGTGCCTAGGACCCTGGGATGGAGGGGAAACTGGGCGGAGCTACGAGTCCGCAGCGCCTGAGACCAGGAGGCGGCCTCGGCCTGCCCCTTGCTCCTGTGCCCCAGGGACCAGCCCAGCTCAGCGCCTGCCCACGGGCGGCAAACTGTCGTGTTTCAGACAAAGACTCCACAAGAACGGGGACACGGTCTTTAATAACGTTGGAATTAAAAAGTCGCTTAGTAAAACGTTTACGAGTATTTGTTTCTATCACATCAAAAAAGTTGACACGCGGTCAGGGTTTTCTGCTTTCCCGCAGAACGTGAGGAGCCGCATGTTAACACCCACAAACGGGTCTACCCTTGCCAGCGTTTCTGTAAAGGGGCCACTGCGTGAGAACAACTTCCAATTAATCAAAAACAACTCTTCAGGTATCAAAGAAATATGTCAAAATAATTCCAAACAATTAAAATAGAATATATATATTTGTAATTCCAGGCCCTCAAAAGCAATCACGGTAATTAAGAACAAAGTTTTGAGTCATTATGATAGAGACCAACATGAACCGTCTCTGGTACCAGAGATGAAACTGGGAAACTGGCATTAGAACCCCCGAGGTACTGGAAATGGCCTTTCCAATGTTCTTCCAACACGCAGGAACCAGGTTAGCGTCCTCCTCCAGCTGGGTCACGGGGCCAAGGGCATCCGGGTTGGGGGCAGCTGGGCGCAACCCGGCTGCTTCTGCGCAGGTCTGTTCCAGGCCGCCCGCCCCTCCCCACGCCCCCACCTGACTGTCCGCCCAGCCCGCAGTTTACTAGAATTCTGTCCATCTGAACACTTGAATGTCACTGAAAAATAAATCAATGCAATTTGGTTTAAATGTCAGTTTCTTCAAGAACCTGATATTTCAGTTACAAATAATTGAAGCTCCTTTTTAAAAAGAAAATTCGACTCCCTCGAAACCAACTACTTATGTGCAGGAAGAAGGCATTGTTACAATGGCTCAGAACCGTCCTCGGGCCCCGGCGGTCCGGCCGGGCGTCTAGCTCGCGAACGTCTTGCCCGCGTCATCCTTCCCCTTGTACGTCCTCTTGCCGTGCGTGAACGGGATGTACCGGTACTTTATCATGTGCTGGGGACAGAGACACTCACTTTAGAGCGGCTTCACCATGAACTATGTTTCCTCCAAATCTGAATCCTGACCCTCTCCACGCACAGGGCAAGGAAACCAGGGTGCCAACCAGCTTCTAGTCCCCTCCCCACCGGTGACACAGCAAAACCCTCCTGAGCTCACTGGAAATCCCGAGGGTCTGGGAAAGGTGTCATGACCCCTTGCATGCAGGAAGGGGTAGGGCCGGGCCGGGCTGGGGACCCCTACAACACCCCCAGAGGCGTGGGGATGCTGCTGCCCTGGGAGCCATTTGAGAGGGATGTCGGCGTAACACACGCTGACTGGCGGGCCCTGGGCTCTGAGCCCCCAGGACGACGTGCCAGTGAGGTCAGCATGGCAGGACCGAGGGCCTCGCCCACCGGGCCCCCAGGGAGCGGTCTGTGGGGGAGAGCGGCACCATAGGACACATCTGTGTTGGCCACCTTGGCAGCAAGGGGCTGCACCACGCCCCTATGGCCCAGGGCGTCGTGGTGCTCCCAGGACAGACCAGACCCGAGCGGGGTTCCCCGCGCCCCCCGGCGGTGCCCGCACTCACCTTTATTTGCCTCTTCATGGTGATGCAGAAAAGCATGAAGAAGTACATCACCAGGATGGGCCAGAACACCGGCACGTTGAACGCCTCAAAGAAGGTGCAGGCCATGGCCACGAGGATGCCCTTGGTCGCCGCGTGCCTTAAAGCAGGGGAGGAGGTCAGCGCGGCCAGCTGCCCGGCCACCTCGGACCACGGCAGCATCCCTGCTTGGGGCAGCAGTGGCGCGGTGTTTCCTACAGAGGGCGCCACGTGGAACCACAACACGGCAGTCCCTTAGTCCCTCGAAAGCCCCCGTCACCTTCCAAAATTAGAGTATGAAGTGTTCAGTGAAAACGTGCAACTGCGCAGGCCGACGCGGCGTCTCACGTCCGCCCCCTGGAATAAGCCCCAGGTGGCTCCCAGGCCCCACCCCTGGGCCGCGCATTGCTGAGACCCTGGGCCCCCGGGCAGCCCCCTTCAGCTCAGCGCCGAGCCCATCGGGCTCACAGCTCTGCTGAAAACGCTCCTTGGCGCTCCCGCTCCGCAAGGCCAGCTTCCTCGGAGTGACCTGCAGGGCCGGCCTGCCTGCCGTCAGCTCCCTGCCCGCAGGGCCCTCGGTCCAGCCCTGCACACCCGACGGGCGACCTGCGGAGGGCTGCCGCGTCCCACACCCAGCACCAAGAACACAAAGGTGGGGCAGCCTGGGCCTTCGGCTTTTGGCTCCAACAAATACAGGACAGACGAGGCCACAGCCTCCATGGGGTGGGGGTCCCCTTCATGCACGCTTCGTGCATGACAGCAGGGTCACCCGTCCACCTGTCCCATGCACCTCGTGCAACATCACACAGATGTCACCACCTCCGGGAGGCCTGGGGGACAAGCCAGTCCCATCCGAGCCCCACCCCAGCACGTCAGTGAAAGCAGGTCTCCCCAAGGCTGCGTCCGCCCCAGAAGGGCCCAGCCCTGCCTCTGTGCGGACACCCCGAGCAGGAGGGCAGGGGAGGCGGCGGGAGGAGCAGCACACAGGCCGGCCAGTCCGAGCAGGGCGGCCAGAGCCCATGCACGCGTCCTTCCGGAGGCCACGTCTGAACAGACCCAGGACCCTCCGCCCAGAAGCAGCTTCTCTTCTGCTGGTTCCGAAGAGCCACCTGGCCCTGGGCTCGCCTACAGAGGTCCCTGCGACCCGCCTCCACGTCCCACCAAGTACTGCGACTCGCATTTTGGATGAACGTTCGAAACACACACAATAAAACTCTCGTCTTTGAAGACGTCTTCGCCGGCGAACTGGAACAAAACCCCTGTTGTCAGTCGTATTAGCACGCTGAGGACAAGCGTGTCTCCCAAGCACCCTCAGGGGTGAACTCACCAAAACTTAAACTCTGGAAGCCTCCGGATGAAGGGCCGGAACTCCTCGTTCTGTCTGGTGGGTAACGAGGGGCCGTCGTCTGAAAGGCAGAATCTCCGTGAGACCCAGCAGGCGTCTCCCCCGCCCGCTCCCGTCACTCCCGCTTCTGCACTCGCCGGCCGCGCGCGGCACACACACTTTTGTTACTTAACCGAACAGAACACGGGAAACCTTCAACTGACTTAGAAACCAGTTCACTGCTTTAGAAGGTTCAGAAGAGAATTTCTTTTGTGAGAGAAGCGCACATTCTAAACGATTGCGTAAAGTTAAAACGCAGACCAATTTCCAGACGCACGTCAACCGCAGCACACAAAGGGACACGGAGAAAATGAGAACATTGACGGAAAAGGAACGCAGAGACGCACAAAGCTTTATCTGCCGAGAGTCCAACTCAGAACAGCTACCCCCTCCGGCACGCAGTGCCCCCACGCTGAGCCCCCCCACTTGCTGAGCCCCCCACACTGAGCGGGATTCAGCCAGACGGCCCCAGCCCTCCCCAGGCAGGCGCCCTCCCCAGCTACACACAGAATCCCAGGCCTACAGAGCAGCTCTCCTGATCATCGTCTAATTCCCCCAAATGGCAACAAATGGGAGTTGTGTTTCCTGTCAGGTTTTCGTCAAATGCTCCACAGAGAAAAACCACCGGCTTCTGGTCAGAATCGGAGCAGCCCGGGGAAGACGGCGAGTGCCCAGGAAGCACTGGGGTCACAGAGAGGAAACCACGGGCCGGCAGCTGCACCTGGGTTTTTCCCACAGTGGCAACACGTGCTGGCAGGAGGGACCAAGTCCCCAAGCCTGTACCCCACCCCCACCTACCCTTCCCCAGCTGGACAGGCAGGTGTGGACACGGCCCTCCTACCTGGCCCAGGGATGGCCAGGATCAGCTTGAGCCAAGAAATTTTCAACCCATCATCTCTGGAAACCAGGGAGCGTCCCCACCCTCAGCGGGGCCCAACTGTGTGCGGTCAGAACCCCAGTGGGCACTACTGGGCACAGCACGCTGCCCACAGAAACCTCTGGGCCCCGAAGAAGGGGGCCTACCCAAGGGGCACAGATAGGACTCAAGGACAGTCCTGACCCTGCTCCCACGCACTCTGCCACGCGACCCTGGCCAATCCGGTGACCCAAGGGACCTCCACTTCCTCCTCAGCAACCCGGGGTGGCAGGAACGCCCACCCACGACATGACCAAGTTTAAGGACTCAACCCACACCCCAGTCTGTCATCACCGACGTTCCAAGTGCACTTTAAACAGCAAGAGAACAGTCTCAAAAGTTCGGATGTCCAAGGTTTCTAGAGGAAACGAGGCCGTCTGTGAAGTGCACAAGATCCCGAGCCCCGGACAGAGCCGAGCAGACGTCTCCACCGTACCTGAGTCCTCCATCAGGGAAGGGTCCACTTTGGGAGAGAGGAAGGCTATGAAAAGATTGAGGTGGTAGATCCCCAAGGCGTAGGTCACGATGTACCAACCCTGCAAGAGAGGAGCCCCCGTCAGAGCCGCCGCCCAGCCCCCGCCCCAAGCAGCCCCCAACGCTCCGGGAACGCGCGGCCTTGTTTGCGCTCAGCGTCAAAGCGTGCGCGACCTGCTCCCGGTCCGGAGACTGCAACCAGGCCAAAGAGCCACGGTGAGCGTGCGCGACCACAGTCCAACTCCAGGGACTGTGCGACAACGGACACGCCATGGGGCAAAGATCCACCTTCCGCAAGGGGCCGCGCGGCCACCCGCGGACCCGAAGCCGCCAGCTCCCCACAGAGCTGCAGCGGGAGGATTTCCTCAGAGCCACACGCCTGAGCCGGGCCGCCCCACAGGGCAGGTGTGGACCAGGCACCGAAGGACGCTGGCGTGGATGCCGGGCCCAGACCCTGCCTCACGGGTGGCTGCCCGCACCGGCATACGGGATCCGAGCCATCCGCTGGGACGCGCCGGCTCTGACGCGCGTGGTGGGCCCCTCACACCGCCACATGCTGGTCAGGGCTGTTACTGGTGTTTGCCCAGGAGAAATCCAGAACCGGAAAAATCAGGAAATCAAGGATGAGGTTAAAAAAACTTAGAGGGGCGCCTGGGGGGGGGCTCAGTCGTTAAGCCTCTGCCTTCGGCTCAGGTCATGGTCTCAGGGTCCTGGGATCGAGGCCCGCATCGGGCGCTCTGCTCCGCGGGGAGCCTGCTTCCCCTCTCCCACTCCCCTCCCTGTGTGTGGGCTCTCTCAAAAAAATAAAATTTTTAAAACAAAAACAACAAACAACAACACGGCGGAGCCAAAAACCCTCCTCAGAAGACGCCAAGAGATGGGGCGCCGGCGCGGCACCACGGGCCCGGGGTTCAGTTCATTCGGAAAAGCGTCAAGTTCAGCCTGTCAGCCCAGGATGCGGTGCATCGTCAATCCTAAAAGCCCAAAAACTGTGCACACGGACGAGGAAATCCTTCTGCCTCCGAACTTCCCAAGTCTGAAAACGACAGACAGGACATGGGGGCCGAGGGGGTTCACACCGCAGAGCCACGCCTGCGGCCACGGCAACAGCACACATGGCTCAGAGGACAACTGCGTCCCCACGTCACCTGCAGCCCTCTCCGAGGTCTCCGGGTCACTCTTCCCGTTAGAGGACGGACCGAGTTCCCACTCAAACAACAATCCTCACGACAACCACGGTCAACTCAAAGTTGACCGCAGCCAGGCTGCGCCCTGCCACCCGGACCCCTCCTACTGCAGAAACAAAGGGGAAAACCCACGTGCCACCCACGGCCACACCTGGACAGCGTGGAGATGGCAGGGGCTCGGCTCCCAGCCCACACCTACCTGCAGCAGGTAAACGCGAATCATGTAGACGAAGCTCAGGCCCAGCGTCACCAGCCATCGCACGGCGGTGTACGGCGTGGACTTGTCGAGCCAGGACTGATAGATCTAGAAAGACAGGGGTCACACGCTGTGGACCTCACAGCACACTTCCCGGAGCACGGGCTTTGCACGTGATGTCAGCAACGCAAAGCAGCAACCACGAGGACCCCCAATTCCTGACACAGGCCCACCCCTGAAGCAGAATGAGTACAGAACCATCTCTCACGGCATCAGCCCGAGGGGTCGCTATGGGGCCACCTAACTTTACCCCGAGAACACGAAGCACGTGGGCACCTTACGCGGGGCTCAGTCTGCGAGTCCCGCGCCTCCCGGAGCCGGCCCCAGCCCCACCCAGCAGCCCCGGGCAGCCCCAGCCTCCGCTCTCAGGACCATCGGCAGGTGTGGCGCCCAGGCGCGGGGGGCAAAAAGCGTCGCGTTTCCAGAGGGAATCCTTGGTTTCACCCACACAGGCGCGTGCATGCGTGCAAGCACGTGTAATTCGCAGACGCGCTAAGTTTAATTTTCAGTTAACTTTTTCAACTCTTAATTTTTTATGAACAACTTCAACTGTTCGTCAAGGCAAAAGCACTCGCCACCCGGCCTTCAATAATTACAAAGTTTTCCAAATGTTCTTCTGTAACTTTAAGAACACGCATTTTCTAAACTCTAAGCTAAAACATCAGTACGCGCAACTGCCCAATCGGACGCCCGAATTCAGCGTCTGAACGTGGCTTCAGGCACTGCTGCCCACGCCAGGCCTCAGCACAGCCCACGGGGACGCCCGCAGGTCAGCGCAGAGCGGGGCCAGGGCCCGCGGAGGCAGTGGCCCGGAGAGAGGACGGTAAGCACATGGCAGCGGCCACCGCCACCCAGGAGCTGAGAAGCATTTCCATGTTTTTCAAGGTCATTGGGGACAAAAAACCACCCAGGTGTATGGCAGAGCGCACGGTGGCCTCCAAGGCCTCAGGCGCCGTCTGGCCCTGTAGGGAAGGACAGAGGACACGAGCTCGTCTGCAGCCGCGGGAACGTGGGAACCGAGGCTGGGAGAGCGGGCGGCCGGCACCCCGCGGGGACACGTCCCGAGGTCAGCGGCGTCTCCGTTCAACTCGTCCGCGCGTCCGCCAGTCACTTCGTCAACACACCCTGGAAAACCAACCTGTCCGAGTCTCGTGAAAAATCTGTACAGCACGGAAGGCTTCCCGTGGACCGAGTCCCCAACACTGTCCCCTTCGGACATTCTGTAACTGAGAGACAGACAAGAGACTTTAATGAAGACGCTCAGGGGTCCTGTCACTGCGCCCGATCTTCACCGCGCGACCGAGCAAGCTGCTCCGCGGCTCGCTACTTCTCTCCGGGCGCCTTCGCCGTGAGCCGTCCCGGGAAAAGAAACAAGCAAGGGGCCGCCCGCGCGGCTCAGCCGGTCAGGCACCCGCCTGGGGATTCTGGCTGAGGCCGTGGCACCAGGGTGCTGAGCCGGAGCCCCACGTCGGGCCCTGCACTCAGCGGGGAATCCGCTTCCTCCCTGTGCCCCCCACCCCCCGCCCACGTGCTCAAACAAGTAAAACTTGGAAAGAGAGGGAGGGGCCCCGGCCAAGAGCCAGAATGGTGCGGCACTGGGCGGACTTGTGTTTCCGCGAGCGCGGCCCGGCCTGCGCGCCTCCCGCTGGGCCCCAGGAGCGGCCCTCGCGGACCATGGAGTCCTGTGGACACACTTTCCCTGGGGCTGGTCCACACCACAGGCCACTGCACCCATGTCTCCCTCCTCCTGCCTATTCCTAGGGTTCCCCCCAGCAACCCCTCTCTCCAGGCCCAGGGCTCTGTCCAGGCTGCTCCCCAGGGCACCAGCTGTGCGAGTCCTGGCCTCCGCGAGGCCTGGCCCTCCGCTCCACGAACGCCACCCGATCCCCAGCAAGGGAGCCCAGGCCCAGGCCCCCGCTGGTGGCAAGTGAAACTGAGCTGCGCGCTCCTGACTATTTCAACAAGCTGTTGTGGGTCCCACGAGGAATTAGCTGACGAGAAGCCCGATAACCCAGGGAGCTTAATCACCCGTATCTCACTAAGGACGAGAGTCTCAAACAGTCCACGCCACTGGCCCAAGGTCAGGAGCTGCTGTGCCAGACCTCAGCCTCTCCGTGTGAGCACAGACCAGACGACGGAGGTGCTGCTGAAGACGCCCAGGAACGCTCAGCACTGCCCCCCACTACCTGTGGGCAGCACCTCCCCGACGAGCACCAGGGCAAGGTTGGGGCCCGGAAGCAGACGCAGACTCCGGCTCCACGTCCACGCCCCAGGCTCCTGCGCTGTACGGCTGGGCAGCCGCGGTCTCCTCACCCGGCCCTCGGCGCTCCCGGACCCAGAGCCTTCCCAAGCACACGGGACAGCGAGGCTCACAGCGGCCGCAGGGGCCCCACGGCCGCCGGATCACACAGGCCGCAAGGTGAACCCACCCCCGCCCGGGCCGTGCTTCCCCGTCACACCCTCACGGTAAGTGCCAGGACACCCTCTGTCCCATACGGAGTCCGCAGGCCCACGGGACCCTCGGCCTCCAGCGGAAACTTTCAAGTACAGCCGAGCGACCGAGACCCCCTGGGCGGCCGCCCCGCGTCGCGTCCACGTTCCAGGTGTGACTGACTCCGCGGGCTGGCGCCGTAGGCCGGGCCGAGGACCGGGCGCGTGGAGGAGCGGACGGGGAGACGCCCTTTGCCCTCCCGAGACGCAGGAAGACGGGTGACTGGACTGGGCTGACGACTCACGGCCCCGGGGCCCAGCTCCCCAGCAGGTGCGTTTCCACACTCAGGGGAGAGAACGCTGCTTCAGGAGGGGCTGGACCAGAACGCATTCCCCGGGATGGCCGGCCCCGGGCGGGCCACAGCCGGGCGGCAGCAGGCCAGAGCAGCAGGCGTCCTCGTCCTGGGGACCCGCACAGGTCTGCTCCTACCTGCCCACAGGCCGCGTTCACCCGCAGGACGCCCCGCCCCAACGGAGGCAGAGGGGACGGTGGGAGCGCCTGGCGAGCCCCGGACGCAGGCACTGGGGCCGGACGCCTGCGTCCTCTGTGCAGGGCGCGCAGAACCCCTGCAGACGCCCGTCCGCCGGCAGCGGCTCTCCGCGTCTCAAGGAGACGGTCACAGTGACGTGAGGAAGCGCAACCTCCCTCCAGAGTCCAGTCCGGCCACTTTCGAGCAGGACGGCCGGGGCGGCCCCTCGTTCCAACCTGCGAACCGGGGTGACAGCACCTCAGCGCCCTCCTCAAAGGCTTCTCCCGGGGAGTCAGCTGTTGAGCCTGAGCCTGGCGGGGGGAGGGGCCCGCACGGGCCCACACGGGCCCACACGGGAGCCCCTTCCCTCTGCTCAGCGGGAAGCGGCCTCTGGGGCGAGGCCCGGCCGCCAGCACTCGGAGTCACGTCACCCTGTCTTTACTCCGCGCCACAGTCGGTCTGACTTTCACCCTGTTCCTCCGTCGCCTGTCAGTGCGCCCCTCCCGCGGAACCTCTGGGCCCCGGCTAGGTGCTGCCCCTGAGAAGGCCCGGCCCACAGCGGGCAGTCGGCCGTCACCTGTTGGACTCCACTGTTTCATGCGCACCCGCGTACACACGGGTCCGAAGCAAAATAACACCACTCCCAGGACACACCGTCGGCGTCACGGCCGAAACCCTGCACAAAACTGTGCCGCGTCCTGGGCCCTGACCCGTCTGCGCTCTGCCAGCCGCGAGCGCCGCACTTTAAGCATCGGAGCCGGCGGCCAGGCATCCGGGTCGGCCCCGCTTCGCTCCTCCTCCCGCGCTCCTGCCAGGTGCGGGGCGGGGCAGGGCAGGGCCACCGGCGGCCTCCGGTGCGTCCCCTCCGCTGAAACGCCCTTCCAAACGCCACACTCATTCTCGGCCGGACCGCCTTCCCGGGCCAGGGCTCCTCCCGCCTCGGAGCGTGACTGTCCTGGACGCCCGCGCCTGGCCGCGACCACGGCGCCCCGGTGACCACGGCGCCCCTGGCCGTGGAGCTGGGTCTCGCTCACGGGGACTCCAGCCGCCCTACTGAGAAGAACGATCTTCGGGGAAACTTCGGGGCTCCCGGGCCGCCCCTTCTGAGGGCACGAGGGAGCGGGGCCCCCGAGAAGGCTCGGGGCGAAGGCGGCCGGCCATGGGCACCGTGGACGTGGGCTTTGCGGCCGCGCTGTGCAGGGTCTCCGGAGATCACCTTGAGCGACCCCACTCGCCGCGTCGACGCGCCCCTACCCGAGCCCCACGGACGAGCCACGGGCCCGAGGGAGGACCGACGGGGAGGAGCGGACGTCGCGCCGGAGCCGGAGGAGCGCAGGCGACCCCTCCCTGCGCGCCCGCGGGTGGGGGCGGGGGCGGTCCTTGCGCGCCCTCGGGGTTGGGGGGAGGACCCGCGACCCCAGTCTCCGCCCGGCCCAGCCCGCCGCCCCGCCCGCCCGGACACCCGCCGCCCGCCGGCACCTCGCCGCTCCCTGCGGCCGAGCGCGGTCTCCGAGGGCCGCGAGAAGGAGGACGCGGGCAGGCGGCCGCGCCGGCGCTTCGCACGGTCGGGAAAGGCCAGCCGAGCACTTCCGCTCTGTCCTGTGCGGCACCGCCTCCGGAGCCTCCAAGATGGCCGTCGGGGCGGAGCCGAGAGCCTCCAACCATTTCCGCTTCCGGTGCGGGGCGCCCGGGCCGTTGGCTGGGCGGTCCCCTCGGCGGAAGGGACGTCATGGCGGAAGCGCTCCGTGCTGCGCATGCGTAGTTGCGTGTACGGCTCCGGGCCGGCACAACTCCACTCCAGAGATTGCTATCGCCCAGGGACTTGGCCCACGGGCCAATGGAGGAGAAGTTTACGGTTGCTAAGGGAACCCGTAGCGGCAAAATGGCGGCGGCGGGCGGCGGGAGTCGGAGGTGCAGCCAGCCGCTCCAGGACCCTCCGAGGCGGCCGCCGCGGGACGGTAACGGCGGCGGGCCGGGGCCGGGTCTCCGTCTGCGATGCGGTGGGGGAGACGGGCGCGGTCCCGGCGGCCGCCGCGCGCTCTCGACCCCAAGCCCAGCCGGCGGCCCCGGGGGGAGCCTCGGCGCCCCAACCCTGGGAGCGGCGGCCCCGCGGCGGACGGGCTTCCGAGCTCGCGGAGCGGAAGAACCGTGTTGGTAGAGCCCAAGCCGCCCTGCGGCGGGTGCCGGAGCCCGGGGACTCGCACGCTGCCCGCGGCGCGGGGCTGGGGGAGGCGCACCCCGCCGTCCCCCCGGGGCGCGGGTGTGGATTTTGTCCCGGGAGCACGAGAGGCCGCAGGGAGCCGTGCCGCCCCCTCAGCCGGCCACCGTCGCCGCTCCGCACGCCGCGGCCCCCCGGGACCTGCCCCACGCGCGCGGTCCCCCGCCCCCGGGGCTCACTGGCCGGCCCGGGACCTGCCTTACGCGTGCGCCTCCCTCCGCTTGCAGGCCGCGGCGTCTACGTGTACCCGAACCCCTTCTTCCGCTACGACGGCGAGTGGAGGGGAGGAAGGACGCACGGTGAGGAGGCGCGGCCGGCTCCTCCCCGGCCGCGCGGCCCCGCACCCGAGCCCGGGGCGCCCGCCGGCCGCGGCCCCACAGGCCCTCTCGCTGGTGCCGGGAGGGCCGGTCCCCGCAGGCTGAGAGCTCACCGGGCGGCACATGCCCGGGGCCCGAGGAGCCCGCAGCCCGCAGCCCTCCCGGGGGCTCCGAGCACCCCGGGCAGGGGAAGCCCCAACCTAGACATCCTCCCTGGGGTTAGCTAGTCTGTCTCTGCCCAAGTGGACGTCGCCCTCGTGGCTTATTTTGATGAGTACGAGATCGCCCAGTTTCGTAGTATTTCGCGGCTACAAACGGAGACGTGCCGGGCCCCCGCGCCCCAGGCTCGAGGCGGCGGCGTCCGCGGTAGCCGAACTGTGGGATGAGCCCGGCCTCCGCCCCGGAGGACCGGAGAAGGAAAACGCGGTCCGTAGTAAGGACGATTGCTCAGCCGTCTAAAACATGAAAAATGAAAAAAACCGAAATCTTGATATTTGCAAGTATGGGGAAGGAACTAGAGGGTATTACACGACGGGAAATAAGTCAGAAAGATACCTGTGACCTCACGCATGCACGGATCGTAAGAAACAAAACAGACACTCGTAGGGGAAGGGGGTGAAATAAAATAACAGTAAAACAGAGAGGGAGGGAACCCACAGGAGATGCTGAGCTCTAGGAATCAGTGAGGGCTGCGGGGGGGGGGGGGGGGGGGGGGGGGGGATGGGGCAACGGGGGACCGGCATGGAGGAGGGCACCTGCCAGAATGAGCCCTGGGTGTTGTGTGCAGCCGACGAACCCCTGAATTCTACCCCGGGGACTAGTACCACGGTGTACGTTACCTAAGTTGAACTTAAAACAAAACAAAAAAATTTTTTAAGGGAGAGATTACCTACTTATATGGAAAATCTCAGCATTAAAAGGAAGTCCTGAGCCTGAGCAGCCGGAGCCCCCCCAGGGGTGGGCCCCGACTTTCCCGTGTGGACGCGCACACAGTGTGACGTCTGTTTGGGGATTCTGCCTGCTCACGTCCTCTGCCTGGTTTTCTGCTAGAGCATTGGTCTTTCAGCATTTTCTCATGTGAGCTCTTTTTGTGTCTGCTTTTGTCTGAAATCTCTGCTTCTCTTCCTCTGGGCCGGACATGCAGACTCGTGTCTGAGACCCTTGCCAGAGCCTGGCCTGGACAGCAGGGTTCCCCCTTTTTCTTTTTATTTTTTCTTTTTATTTTTTTTAATTTACTTCTTTTTTTTAAGATTTTATTTATTTATTTGACAGACAGATCACAAGCAGGCAGAGAGGCAGGCAGAGAGAGAGGAGGAAGCAGGCTCCCTGCTGAGCAGAGAGCCCGATGCGGGGCTCGATCCCAGGACCCTGGGATCATGACCTGAGCCGAAGGCAGAGGCTTTAACCCACTGAGCCATCCAGGTGCCCCTGTTCCCCCTTTTTAAATGTTTTCTTGAGTGCCGCCCTGTGTCCACAGACTCCGTTTCTTCCGGCCCTGGTGCTGGTGGAGGCCGGGTGCCTGCCGTGTCCCCTCTGAGGAGGTTAGGGTGGGACCTCCTGCACTTGGACGGCGCTGCTGTCATCCCGGCTGAGACAGTGGGTCTTAGTTATGTGTCAAGAGCGTTTTTATGAGAAACGTGTATGTGGGTGAGTTTAAAGAGAGCAGGCGTGGACCAGAGGCAGAGCCGAACACGGACCTGAGAGCTTCAAAGCCCAGGTCTTCCCTCGGGGAAACCAGTCCCACCACACGTGGGCAGTGGGTGTTTCTCCGACTTCCGTCTGACTTCACATCATGATTTCTTTCCCCAGGCCAGGGCAAGCTGCTGTTTAAAGACGGGAGTTACTACGAAGGCGAGTTTGTGGACGGGGAGATCACGGGGGAAGGCTACCGGCTCTGGGCGTCATCAGGTTAGGGGGGAGATGGGTGCGGGCGTGCTGACTACTCTCTCACAGACTGTCTCTGCTATAAGGTGTCCCTGGCTTCTGGGGGCAGAAGGCACCTGCATTTGTGAAGTGTGGGCCTCCCGTTTCCATCACGTCCCCCATGTCAGCAACATGCCAGCCTAGGGCCGGGGCAGCCCCTCCCAGACCTTCTCGGGCAAGCGTGGTGGTGGTTCTCCATGGAGGGAAGGCCCACCCCCACAGGTTCTGACCCACGGAGGCCTTTGCCCTTGGGCACTGGGATGCCGTGGAGAGGAGATCTGCGCCCGCACAAGTCACGGGAGGGCGGGACCGAACCCACCTAATCCTAGTTTCTTCCGTTAGCCACAGTGAACAGGAGATGAGACTCGCTCACGTGTTCTGAAATGGCACTTGCTGCCCCCGTTGGTCAGGGCTGGGAGGGGCGGGGCTGGACCCACAGGGACGCAGGAGCAGCTCTAACCCCGACTGCCCTTCTCCTCATCTGCACCAGGGGACACCTACTCTGGACAGTTTGTCCTGGGAGAGCCTCAAGGATACGGCCTCATGAAGTACAAAGCTGGCGGACATTACGAAGGGGAGTTCTCCCACGGCCTGAGAGAAGGTCCGACGCCCATAGGAGCCGAGTGCGGCAGGGTGCTCTGTGGGGAGCCCTGGGCCCCAGCGCCCCGCCCTGAGATCTGACTCAGGGCCTGACGTCCGCCGGCAGAGCCGGGCGGCGCTCTTCCCTCTGCCCCCAGAACCACATGGGCTGCAGTTCCGTGGGGGGCCATGGCCCGGGGAGCCTGCCTGCTGGGCCTGAGACCGTAGGGCGCGCCTCTGTTCCCTGCTGTGCTTAAAACCCAGCAGCTCAGAAAACCACCATTGAATTTCTCGCCTGCAACCCTGGGGCTCAGCCGCCTGTCCCTGGCTCGGCGAGGCAAGGCTTCCGGCCCCACATGTGGTCACCCCTCCGGTGGCAGTGGCGGCAGCTCAAGCAGGGCTTGGGGGTCCTGGACCCTGGCCCAGAGCCTCAGTGCTGCTGGGGGGTGAGAAGCAGCGGGTCCTCTGAGGACAGGCTGCTGGACAAAGCCAGTAAGGAGGGCACAGGCTGGGGGCGAAGCAGGGTCTGCCCTGGGGGGTGGGTGGGTGTGCATCCCCGGCCGCCGGAGACTGAAGCGCTGGCTGTTGTAGACCAGCCCCCAGAGGCCAGCCCTGCAGCCCCGCAGCCCCGCAGCCTCAGTGTCCTCGCATGGGGAGGTGCACGCGCACTCCCGGCCGTCTCACACCACACGGTGAAACCTGTTCTCACACTTGTGTGCTCTGGCCTTCGTTTTCTTTTTCTTTTTCTTTTTTAAGATTCATTTGTTTTAGAGAGGGCATGCCAGCAGGGGAGGGGGGAAGGGGGAGACTCTCAAACACACTTGCAGAGCCTGACGTGGGGCTCGATCTCGTGATGCTGAGATCATGACCTGAGCTGAAACCAAGAGTCGGACCTACCCCCAACAGATCCCCCAGGTCCCCCGTCCTCTGGCCTTTAGACCAAAGGCCTCTGAGTTGGTCACTGGAGGCCCAGCACTGCCCTGTCTCTGTGAGGCACAGTTTCCTGTGGACTGACGCCTGGGCAGAGCTGTGGGGTGGCCCCAGCCAGACAGCAGGGCACTCCAGCCTCAGATGCTGGGGCCTGGGGGAATTTAAGGGGTGCCCCTCCCACCCTCACTCAGCGCCTTTGAGAGCTGGACCCCAGAAGCACTTTCACAGGCGTGACAGTCCCTGGTGCCACACCAAGTCACAGGGCTGTCTTCCCCAGGCGCCCCCGGCCTGGGAGGGTGACCCAGTTCCTGGAGTGGGGCTGACCCCGGCTTTCGTCCTAATCCACTGCCGCCCTCTGGGGGCCAGGGGTGGAAGCAGGGTCCCCCCCAACAGGAGGCAGGAGGTGACGCTCGCTGCCCTGGGCTCCCTACCTAGGACACGGGCACCTGGTGGACAGGGATGGACAGGCCTACTGGGGGTCGTTCCACAACAACAAGCGGCATGGCCAGGGCCACATGGTCTTCCGGTGAGTTGCCGTCCCCCCCGCCCCGGGGCGTCTGCAGCACTCGGGCGTCTGAGCTCTTAACTCCTGACGCTGGTTACCAGAGCGTTCAGTAGGGAGAACCTGACTCTGCCGGGTAAACGCCTGGGGGAAGCTCGGGCGGC